CCACATCTAAAATGTCCTCATTCATACCTACCTTCTCTTTAGATCTAGTTCTTTTGTTCTGGAGGGTCGTCTTTTGACTCATATTTTATACAGAACTCTAACAGTCTCTTAGATTCCCAGAAAAGAAATAATACCTTAAAGGGGAGGATTATCTTCTGGTGGGGTTGGGGAGGGGCGGCATGGCTAATGAGGGGAAGGGGGAAATAGGAAAAAGAAGGCACAAACTTCAAAATGCCTAGCATTTTGGGGCCGTTCATTGCCGGGGCAAACATTGCAGCCTGGTGCCATCATGGCTGCTCAGAACAATAATCTAAGTTGTTAATGGGAGGGGAGATCGCGTGTCTTGCTGCTTTTAGAAGAGGATATACTCTTGATCTGGCAATTCTTTCTTTAGGCCACGTGTCCTTAGAAAACTCTTGGCATAGATCTCACTGCTACAGGAATAAGGATGTTCATCATGGTGTCCTTTAAAATACCAAATAATTGAAACGACTTCAGCATCCAACAGCCAGGGCTTGTTTAAGTAAACTATGGCATCTCCCATGATGGAATGCTACAAAGGCATGAAAAATAATGAGTAGGATACAGGTTCTCAAACTTAACTGAGCAGAAATGTCACCAGGTGAGTTTGCAAAATGCAGATTCCTGGGCTCCAGAACCAAGAGTTGGATTTAATGGGACCAGGAAGGGGCCCAAAAATCTGCCTTCTGTGATTCGGATGCAGATTTACCTTAAAAAAACCTCTCTGAAAAACACTGACATAAAATACAATTTAATGAGATGCAGAGAATTTGTGATATCTTATAAAGCTTTCAAAATGAATTACAAAACAGTATGTATAGCATGATCTGATTTTGATTAAATATGTAAATATATATTAAATATATATACTAAATATACTAAATATATATTTAATCAAAATCAGATCATTATATATATATGGAGAAAGAAAGAGAGAGAGAGAGACAAAGAGAGATATCTAGATTTCTATCAAAATCTTAACAATGGTTACTTCTGAGTTATAAATCATATTTTTTTGCCCTAAACTATTGCTTCTTCATTTTAAACAATAACTAATTTTTAAAATGTCAAAAGTTATGTTTTTAAAAAGAAAGTGGAGTGTAAAATCCACTTGAGAAATTCTTCCATCCAAATACGAAAAAAGGACAACTGAAAATCAGACGCAGTACTTAAATGGTCAAAACTCCCGCTGTCTAGGAAGGTGTGCTCTCAGACCCAGCAGATGCCTGAGCGTGTCAGGTAAACGAGGCTCGGCAGAGCCTTTCCTTAGCTCTCTCCCCCATTAGCAGACTCTGACTCGAATAGGGACATCTAACTCTGCAAAATTCGCTGAGAACCTTGAGGTGTGGCTCAGGTCACCCAGGACCCCTAGCCACACCAGATGCACTGACCCTGTTGGGGGTGGGGGTCACCGGTAGCCACTCCTGATTCCTGAGGCTCTTCCAGAGAAGAGGTGCTCAGAGAACCACAAAGAGAAGCCCCCACAGGCTATGCTGTTCCATGACATGAGCAGGACAGCCACGTTCTACCAATCACATCCCCTTCTCTCCTGGGTCAGGGGCTCTAGGACTGCTGACTCCCAACTGCATCGGTGACTCTGCTGACACCCAGTATAATCAGAATTTGGGAAGGGATGGGTGGGACATCCAGTTTTCAACCTCTCAGGAGAGAGGACACTCCCCGGAGCCAGAGATTGGCAGTTCTGAAAAGGCCCGTGAGAGCCGCCCTGACCATCTCCCTGCCTCAACGAAGTGAGCTCTGTCCCTTCACCCTCAAGAGGACATGGTTGTCCTCATCCTGCAGAGGAGGAAACTGAGGCTCAGAGAGGGAAGTCACACAGTCTACAAGTGGAGGCGCTGGGATTTGAACCCAGCTTTGTCTGACTCCAAGGCACATATTCTCTTGATAGGCTGCCAGGCCCCAAATCCTGGTCCCCCAGTTGTACAGGTCAGGGTGGGTCTTTCCAGCTCCACAGCCCAGTTGCCTCACCCTGGCAGCCCCCCTTGACCAGGTGAGGCCACCCCGGTACGTACGGTCCAGTCTGCACCAGGACAGAGCCTGCCTTCTCCACACCAGTCTCCTTCAGGTTGGGGCAGGGCCCATTGAGCTCATGTGATTGGCCTTGGAAGTTTTCTTGCTCAAAGATGATGATCTGTAACAGGAAGAGAGAGTCAGACCCCATCATGGTGCAGAGGAAGGACAGCAGGGCAGTGAGGGTGGGGAGGGGACTCAGGGAGCCTGGAAGCACGCTAAAGGATTCCACCCAGGGGAGTCACAAACTAAACACAAAGTCAGACCGTCCTGGCTGTGCCGGTTACCGGCTGTGAGACCTCGAGCCAGTATTTCACCTCTCTGAGACTCAGTTTCCCCATTTGTACAATGGGAAATAAAGAACCTACCTTATGGGGTTGTTGGAAGGATTCAGAGAAGCATCATGTTAGCACACAGTATTGGCTCTGTGTGGGAGGCATAAGGACGTTACTTAAGGCCCTCCAGGAGGTAAGTGGCAGAGCCGAAATTGGAGCCCACGCTTGCCTGATGCTGTTTCCATGAGAGCAGCAGTTTGAAAACTCTAACAGGCGCACCAAGCACCTGGGATCTTGGTAAAATGCAGTTTCCAAGCCAGCAGGTCTGGGATGCAACCCCAGGTTCTGCATTTCCAACGAGCTCCCAGATGAGGCTGGTACCACCGATCTGTGGTCCACAGTAGGAATAGCAAGATGCTAGACCGTGTTGCTTGGACTTCTCCTGCTCGCATTAGAGCTGGCCTGGTACTGCCATCTGTACCCCTCACCTCCATGTCACCCGTAAAACTACACATACGTGTGTCCTTTCCTTAAGCCCCCACAGGCTTTGCAGTCTCCCTCCGACTTTCCCCCAGGATATTTCTCAAGGGGGCTCTACTCCCCTTGCCTCACTTGGTCCTCTCATCAGCCCAGAGAAGGGGGCCAGCAGGACCCCCATCAGAGAAAACAGAAGGCCTTCCAAGGCAAGAGGCCGCCCAAGGCCTCACGGCCAAGTGCTCTCATGATTCCGGAGAGCTTTGGGGGACAGGAGTCTTCCAGCCACACTTCCCCAGGAGCTGCCTCTGGATGAAGGGCTGGGCTTAGGGCAGCAAGCTTCCAGGAATGTCAACTGTGCAATTCACACAGTCAGCAGTGGCTGGGCAAACATGTCCCTCTCTCTCAGGCCGGGGATTAGCCACATAAAGCCAGGGAAGCGAGGCCCGCCAGGGCTCAGAGACAAATCCCACGGACTCAATTCAGCCCTTATGGTCACTGACTTGACAACAGATGATTAGGAGACGTGGGCACTGATGTTGCCTCTGCTACATCCCGCTGTGCAACCTGAGGAAGCAACTTGACTGCTCTGAGCCTTGGCTCTCCCATCTATAAAATGGAGGATCACACCTGTTTTGCAGAGTTACTGAGAAGAATAAATATGGAAGTTAGGGACCAGTTTATTATTACCCTTGCCTGGGAAACAAGGGCTTTGCAAGGGTGAGGAGGGGGTGAGGAAGGTCAGCCTCCCCATGCATTTGAAAGGCCTTAGAGAACCCAACAACTTGGTATTGTTGTTGCTCTTTATCAACAAATAGATGCTAACACATGTTATCTAATCCTTTCAACCTGTGTGGTCCAATACAGCAGCCATTCGCTACATATGTCAGTTGAACAAGGAGAAACTTATCCGAATTAAGATGTGCTATAAGTATAATATACACGTCACGTTTTGAAGCTTTAGTATGAAAAAGAGAATATAAAATAACTCCCTAATAATTTTTCTATTGATCACACATTAGGCTTTATTGGGTTTAATAAAATACGATATGAAAATTTATCGCCTCTGTTTCTTTTTACTGTTTGAACGTGGCCACTAGGAAACAGTTACTTATGTGGCTCCTATCTTACGTCTGCTTAGCTGCTCTAAACTATATCATACTGGCTTTCTTTCCGTTCCTCAAGCTCGCCCCGCTCACTCTAACCCCTGGGCCTTTGCACTCACTGTGCCCTCTGCCTGGAACGCCCTGCCCTGCCCTGCTCCCCGATTTTCACATGTCTGCCCCATGACTTCACCCAGGTCTCCACTCCAATGCCACCTCCTCAGAGAGGTCCTTTCTGACCATCTCAGCTAACACAACCCTTCCTCATCCACCTGAGTCTCAGAAACCCCTCACTCTCCTTTATGTTTCTTCTCAGTACTTCTCACTCCTTGAAGTCATGTATTTATAGGTTTGTTTCTTGTCTGTCTCTCCTCTAGAAAGTGAGCCCCTCAAGGGACAGACTGGAGTGAGTGGCTGAGGGGCTGCATCGGCTCGTGCTTTCCTGGCCGGGGAGGCCTCAAGTCAGACAAAGGGCAGTTCCTGGACGGACTCCCTCCCCAGGGCCCCGGATGTAGAGGGAAATGGAGGGCAGCCTGGTAGAAGGCTGCCTGTAGAGGTTTGGGGTAGCAAGGGTGTCATAAGCTTCTGACATTGGGATAAGAGCCCACCGCCCTTAGGAGGGCAGGAAGATGAGAAAGCAAAGACGGCACCATTAGCTGGCATTAGGTGGGCACACCACAGGCCGGGCTTTAGGCTGAGCCTGTTTTCTTTGCCTCTTCACAGCTACTCTATGCTGTGAATTCGATTCTCTTCATGTCATGAATAAGGAAACTGAGGCTCAGAGAGGTAAAGTGGCTGGCCTGGGACACACAGCAGGTGTGCAGTCAGGACTCACATCCCACCTCCCATTCACCAGACCCATTTTAGAAGGGACTGAGGGTTTGCCCCAACCTTGGGGAGCCCCCGTGGGCCATAGTGTGTGTAGGAGGGGGTAAAACAAAGCAACTTAAGCCTCCAACGTGAGAAGCTGGTAGTGGAAATTCTGGCATGTCAGTCATGAGCTGGGGACGGGGGCCTTCAGAATCAGCCCCCAGTATACAAGTGGGGGAAACTGAGGCCCAGTGAGGGTCAGGGGCAGAGAGGGAAGCTTGAGAAGGCAGATGCCAGCCCCACTTTACAGCAGGAAAACTGAGTCTGGGGGATGATCTCTGCTTGCCCACCCCTTCCCCGCTGCATGGTACCCACCTTGGGGTTGAGGGGCTGTGACTTGCCCGCTTGGGTTTGGTGGTCCGAAGCCATGATGGGCTGTCCTGTGCAAGAATGACCTGGAAGACATGAGGGAAGCAGCACTGAGGACCTCTCTGGGCCCTTGGCTTTCTGAGCTGCGGGCCACACCACGGCAGCCCCCAACTCCTGTCTTCATCTCCCTGGCTTTAGGCTGTCCTCGAGCTGTGGGGGCAGCAGGCAGCTGCCTGAGCATTTATCCTTAGCTTCACTGTTTGTGTCCAGACCAGCTCCGGAGGGAGACATGAGGTCTACTAAAAAATAAAGTGATAAATTAGAGCTCAAGTGGGGTCTCAAGTGGGTCACTGTCACTCAGGCCCTATACAGAATGCAGACCTACCGATAGTGTGCAGACATTTGTTGATTAAAGGACAGCAGTTTGGAGCAAATAAAACCTATGCACTTACCATGCTTGGCTGGGTTGTGGCCCCCAGGCTGCAATCTCACAAAGTCCCCTGGACCCCCTGCCACTCACCCCCAACATCCTCCTTGACCCCTCCCCCAGTACCCAGAATGCTCCTCTCTGTCACTGGTCTTCTTCCCCCATTACACATTTGTTATGAGACTCATGGTAAAGGAAGCAAACACATGCGTGTAAAGGGCGGGAGTTCAGGCACTGTGAGAGCCGCGGGGAGGATCTCTTAGCTGGTGAGAATATTGGAAAAATCTGGAAAATTTGCAGTCTCTTCTCCCTTCCTGCAGAAAGGGCAGTGAAGCCAGCCTTCATTTTCCCAGTGAAGAGGGGAAACCTGACCTCCTTATCCAGAGATAACACCCAGCTTCCAGAAGCCCCTTCCGCACCAGGACTTACCCCAGAAACAAGGAATTCAAAGCAGCAGCTTGGGAGCCAAACCTGCTTTTCTCTCTTAAGAAACCAGCCCTTTGAGCCGGTCGCAGTGTCAGGGGTCCCACCAGCACAGTCCCCAGTCCTCAGCATTCTCAGACCAAAGATGAAGCTGAAACGCAGGCGCTGGCTCTGCCGCTTCCCAGCACCGAGGCCATCCTCTTTGGGCCTCAATGACCTGTTCTGCAAAATGGGGCAGTAATGGCGCCTATCCATGGACAAGTTGTGATGATTCAATTATATAAGGCAGAGGTCCTTATATAATCAGGCACTTGGCAGAGGTCCCAGGAGACACTTGGTGCTCCGTGCATGGCAGCAACGATGGCATTATTAGGGTCATTTGCACCAAGTGCTAATAGCTTTGAAATCACCTGTTGCTGGGAGCTCCCAGAGAGCTGTGACTGCCCCTAGTCCCTAGCGCTCCCCAAGGCAGGATACACAGCGAGCACTGGGAATGTTTGTGGATACAGAGAGAGCTAACTCACCACCCTAGACACTTTGATGCTGAGCCTTCACTGGTTTGATACCTGCTTATTACAAACTCTCAGGTTCTCTCTCCCAGTCACTGGCAAAACAAGGATGCGGATGGACTGTTTAGTATTATTATAATAAAGAGCATTGCCCAAGTACCTGCTCTGTAACAGGCGCTGTGCAGGTCCATTCACCTACGGTTTCTCTAAGCCCCACAAGAAAGGAGGTTCTAAGACCCCTCTCTCCATTTAACTGAAAAGAAAACTGAGGCTTAGGGCATTGAAATCTTCACCCAAGGTCACTTTGTCAGGAAGTGGTGGCATCTGGATTCGAACCCCAGTCTCCCGCACTTTCCTTCAGGGATGAGGATGAGCGAAAAGGCAAAGCAAGCACAAAAGGCATTCTTACCAGTGACACCGGCCCCCGAGAGTGCCTGTGAAGCCAAGCTGGTGGGAGGTGGCATTTATACCTTCCCCAGGAGTGCCGGTGCCAAGATGAGTGACGGCTGCGTCCCCGCGGAAAGCAGGGCAAGAATGCTGGATTAAGCCCGCACCAAAGCCCAGGTCAGCAAATGCCCACAGACATTGTGTCTCTGCACAATAATGTCATTAGCTTTCAGATTTGGCCACGCCACGATGGTCAGGCGGCTGATCAAGAAGACGCCTGTTTGCATGCATCAGCCATCCGGCTGCCAGGACCAGGGTCAGGCTGGGTTCACGGCCTGGCGGAAGGCAGCCAGAGGCGAAACTCGGCGGCCCTGGTAAAAAAAATCAAGTAAAGGAGGGTGATTTGGCAGGGTCCAGCATCCAGCATCTGCCCATCCATCCATCCACCCATCCAACAAATATTTTTATTAGACATCTACTTGGTGCCAAGTTCTGTTCCAGGAGGTGGTGCTAGGGAAGGGACCTACTCCAGCCTGGGCCATCCAAGACAGCTCCCAGAAAGAGACTGAGTCCTCAGGGATCGGGAGAAATTAGCTTGGGAAACCAAGCTGGGAAGATGGTTCCAAGCAGGAGCAGGGCCTGGGCTAGGTGGTTGAGGTGGGCAGGGGCCTGATGGTGCAGAGCAAGGAGAGTAAACCACATCTTGCAAGCCTCTGGGTTGTCCCAGGCCCGCTGTTCTTAAATGGGGTGCTTGCAGAATTCCAGGCTGGGGAAACCTCTCGGATCCTCACTGCCGGCCCCACCGCTGCCCTGTGGGCACTTGGCCCTTACTCATGTCCCTCCAGTGTGCATGGCTTCCTTGTAGCCAGTCTGTGTCTTGACCAAATCCAAGGTCAGGGAGGGGAGAGGGGGCATCACTGGGGGCTTGGAAACTGGGTTCAAGGGATGAGACTGGCTTTCTCCCACCTTCCATGTCCCCAACACACACTCACACACACACACTCACACACACACACACACACACACACACACACACACACACCTGAGTCCCCTAGCCAAGCTGTTTCTCTCTATAGCGCTTCTCACCACTCTTTTATTTGCTGCATTTCCAATTAGAAGATGAGCATCATAAGAAGAGCTCTTACTTTACCACCAAATCGCCAGACCCCAGTGCCTGACACGTAGTAGGTGCTTTTATTAGTTTCCTAGGGCTGCTGTAACAAACGACCAAAACTGAGTGGCTTAAAGCAACAAAAATTTGGGATATAAAATGGTGCCACCTGTATGGAAAACAATATGGTGGATCCTGCAAAAATCAAGCATAGTATTACCATCCGATCCAGCAATTCCACTTCTGGGTACACACCGAAAAGAATTAAGGCAGGATCTCCAGCAGATGCTTATACACCCGTGTTCACAGCAGCATTGTTCACAATAGCCAAAAGGTGAAAGCAACCAAAGTGTCCACTGTCAGATGGATAAACAAATTGTGCATGTCCATACCATGAAATATTATTCAGCCTTAAAAAGGAAGGAAATTCTGACACCTGCTACAACATGGATGAATCTTGAAGACATTATGCTAAGTGTAATAAGCCAGATACAAGAGGAAAAATACCATATAATTTCACTTATATGAGGTACCTAGAGCAGTTAAATTTATAGAGACAGAAAGTAGAATAGTGGGTGCCAGGGGCTGGAAGGAAGGACAACTGGGAGCTGGTATGTGATGGGTGCAGTGTCAGTTTTGCACGATGACAAAAGCTCCGGGGATGGATGGTAGTGATGGTTGTACAACAATATGAATGAACTTAAAATGGTTAAAGTGGTAAACTTTGTGTCATGAGTATTTTACCACAATAAAAATAATGCCAACTCCCACCACCACCCCCTGAAATTTACTGCCTCGCAGTGCTAGAGGCTTGCACTCTGAAACCAAGGTGTCAGCAAGCTACACTCAGTCCTGGGGTGCTCTAAGGGTGGAGATTGCCCACAATTCTTGGCTGGTAGACACATCACTCCAGTCCCATAGCCGTCTTCTCCCTGTGTGTCTTCACATTGTCTTCCCTCTGCCCATGTCCAATTTCCCCTTTTTATAAAGACACCGGCCATATTGGACTCAGGTCCACCCTAAAGCCCTCATTTTAACTTGCTTTCCTCTACAAAGACCTTATTTCCAAATAAGGCCACATTCTGAAGTACTGGGGGTTAGCACTTCAACATATCTTTTTTGGACACAATTCAATCCATAACAGATGTCAATTAAATTTGCTGAACAAATGGATGGATTCAAGACCTGGTCAAGTCTCAATAAATAGAAAAGAATTACTAACATTCAGATAGTATGATATCTCATGAGTCACTTACTATCCATACTTATTTCAATCCTCCCAAGAAACCTAAGAGGTAAGTCTTGCATTTATCAATCATCTGTTTTACAGAAGAGAGAGTTAAGGCTCAGAGAGATTAAGCAACTTGCCCAAGGTTGCACAGCTAGTGAGTAGTAGAGCTGGGCTTTGTGCATTGAGCCCCTGCTAAGCTCACTGGAGGATTCTCTATCTGCTGTCTCATTAAATTCAATCCTCCCTACCATATTTGAAGTAAATATTATTAGTCTCTCCTGTTAACATATAAGAAAGCTGAGGCTTAGAGGAGTTAAATAACTTGTCCAAGGTGACATAGCCAGGAAGTGGTGGAGACAGGATTTGAACTCAGAACTCAGGGCTCTTAAGACTCCAGAGCCTTCACCCTACGCTACTCTCCTGCTCCTACTTCAGTTTTCTCACCTGCAAATTGAAGTTTCCTTCTTCTTCACAATTGCCAGGATTTAAACACTGTAGCATTCATAATTATACCCTTTGGACAATGAACAATCATGAGAAGCCCCCAGTAGAGTTTCTAACCCATAGAAAGCGCTCAGCAACTGTTCCTCTTCCGTTATTCATTACTCTTGCAACTACGTGGACTGCAATATTTTCAAAGTCTTTTATATTTATTTTTTTCTTCATCCCTGCACTCAAAGGTGTGAGGCCAGAGATTGTTAGCAGCTTGGGTGCTTCTCTATATTCATCCATTCATGTATTCCTACATCCTGAGCACGTGCTGTGTGTCAGCTGTGGACTCAATGGGGAGTGATACAGACAAGGTCCTTGCCTTGGTCGGTCTTACAGCTGACAGGTTCTTAAGATCTCAAAGTGCTTTGCCTGTGGTGTGCCCTGGGTCATTCGTTCATCTAGACAATGAGCTCAATGAGAGGTGGGCCAAGGCTCAATCATGTTTGTAGCCTCAGTGCCTGCCTAGGGTCCAGCACATAGTAGGTGCTCAGGAAATATTTGTTAACTATCTGAATTAGTGAATAAAAGATGAAGAGATACGTAAGTGTCTTAGTTTGGGTTTTACCAGAAGCAGACTCTAAGATAAGTAGGTCGACTCTAAGTTCAAGTGCAAGTAGTTTATTTGGGAGGTGATCCCAGGAAGTATCAGCAGGGAGGGGGGCAGGGAGGCAGGAAAGGGAAGGTGGCCAATATCAAGTGTATCAGTGAGCAGGTCGCCACTGGGTCTTCTTGATTTTAAGTGAGGTCATGTGGATTCTAAGCAGACGACGTGACAGGTATAATTTCCGGGTCTAATCATTTTGTGGCAGGTGCCAGACTTTCCAGTGTTTTCTTTTCCATTGCCCTGAGATGGCAGCGTTGCAAGGTGGCAGAGCCTCCATTAGCCTGGCTCCGTGACTGACTATGTGGAGAAGAGGTCCCTACTGACCAGCATTAGACATGTGGCATGAGTGACAAATGAGCCTTTGTTGTTATAAATTAGCAAGACTGGGGGCTGCTTGTTACCCAGCATAGCCTGACTGATACACGGAGAGAGAGGGCTTGGACCCTCCTCTCTGCCTCGCCTTCTCACTGCTATTGAGACAATAGGCCTGGGTGTCACCAAAGACAGTTTGACGCAAAGGATTCGGAGCTAGAAGGAGCCACAGTGAGCAAGTTGAGAAGCTCTCAAATCTATTAGCACCAATATTCTCCTCATGATGATTATTTTGCGACAGCCGATTTACTTTTTTTATTTTTTATTTTTTATTGGGGAACAGTGTGTTTTTCCAGGGCCCATCGGCTCCAAGTCAAGTAGTTGTCTTCAATCTAGTTGTGGAGGGCGCAGCTCAGTGGCCCATGTGGGGATCGAACCGGCAACCTTGGTGTATGAGCCTGCGCTCTAACCACCTGAGCTAACCAGCTGCCCCCACTTTACTTTTTGAAATCAAATTGATACCATAACCATTAATATACATGCTTTCAGGATAAAATAATATTGAAATGTCCTAACTGTAATATAAAAGGATAATAAAACAAAATGTGTAATTATATGTATTTCAATATACAAAGGTTTGCACACAACTCTACCAGATGATGTGACAAAGGAGTTAGGTAGTTGCGCTACTTACGATGGAAAGTTTAGGTAGGAAGTTAATCATGAACCGAATGTGTGTTTGACATTTGCATGCACCTGTGAAGAACCCTCTTGAACATAATACAGCCACAGCTGCAGAGTGGCCCAGAGGTGATGCAAACACCATAGGTGGCATTGCCGTGGGCACTATGATTTTCCAATATGGGGAGGAAGGCTTCGTTCGTAAAGTTCCCACCTGAGGGTAGGGGAGCTGGAGTATTTATACACCGATTCCTGTTTGTTTGGTGTTTTTTTTTTTTTTTAGCTGAGCCATCCTGCCACCTGTGGGTGGCTCAGCGGCAGCTCAGCTCGGGCCGGGAATTGAACCAGCGACCCTGTTGCTCAGAGATCGTACTCTTGAGTGAGCTCTTAACCAACTGAGCCACTCGGCCGGCCCCAATACACCGATTCCTATAGTCATTGGATGACAGCTACTCCTACTAGGTGCTAACTCCCAGAATTCCAGCTGCCCCCAGGCACGCAGGCATGCAGATGTCGGCAACCAAAAGTGGCCCTCACACACCAACACTGTAAGTTTTAAGGGATGTGTGGAAGCTCAGACAGCACCTATGGACATCCAGGGGCAGGTACAAGACGTCCTGGGTAAGGCTGGGGAGTAGGGGTCATCTGACAGCAGGAAGTGGCAAGAGGGCCCCAAGAGAATCAGGAGTGGGGGATGCATTCGCAGAGGCTTGACATTAGTGGAGCCCTAAGAGATGCCCGTGAGCCTGCCACCCAACTCCTGAGACCCTCGGGCTCCAGTCCTGTCTCCACCAGCCCTGCTCACCCCTGGGTCCTGCTCTCCCCATGAAGGCTTGTCACGGCTCAGATTCTCCAAGCCTGGCCGTGGAGCCTGGTTTCCTTGTTTCCATTGGGTCGCCCATTGTTGAGTACCTGGGAGGTCCCTCTGCCATGCAGCCATGCAGCTTGTCCCCAGGGCCATCACTTTTGAGGAGGAGGAGGAGGAGGATGAACACTTAGATTGCACCCAGTTTGCTTTAGCTTTCGTTCTCAACCCTTTCTGCAAATCCGACTCTCGTTAACACTCACGACAACCTATGAGATAGGGAGTGTTATTATCTCCGTGTTATAGATGAGGAAACTGAGGCACAGAGAGGTAAAGCGACTTGCCTAAAGGCACACAGTAGGAGGTAGAGCCTGGAAAGGGAGCCAGGTGGTGTGGATCAAGGACCCACGTCAGTCAGACTGCCTCTGATCCCTTGACCATACTGCTTCTGACCATGAGGCAGCACTGCCTCTTGAAATTAAGCAGGTAAAGTCATTTCCTGGCCCTGAGTCTCACTCTCGTGTCACTGAGGGACACGCTGCTTCATGGTCCTTCTCAGGTTCTGTGTTAGACAGAATCTGAGGCTGGGCTGGAGCTAAGAACAAACAGCCTTTTGGAGCTAGACAGGCCTGGGCTCAAATCCCAGCTCTGCTGCTCCCTGCTGTGTGGCCTCAGCAGTTGGTCTTTCTTCTCTGAGTTTCTGAGACCATTAGGAGGATTAAATGGGATAATATATGGAAGCACCTGCAGAGAGTAAGCACTCCCTGATGCCAGTGGTTCTTATGGGTCTGGGGCTTTGGACAGACTCGCTCAGACATCAGTGACCTCCTGGGTCTGCCCTGGATCTGGGGGTCCAGCTGAACCCCACTTCTCAAGTCAGCCCAGCTCCAGACCTCTCTGGGACCGAGGGAGAAAGGGGCACACTGACCTAGCGCTGAGTGGGCTTCCTTGCAAGCCTTTTCCTGACCCGTTACCTGGGAGCCGTTCTGGGCCTCCTGGGTGTCAGCAGAGACCAGGCATGAACAGGTCCTGGCCCGATGCCTAGAACACAGTATGTGCTCAATAAACAGTAGCCACTCCCACAGCCAGCAGCTGCAGTGGCAAAGCAGAAGTCAGTTTAGCCAACCATAGCAGCAGTAGCTGGTGGGTGGGGAGAAATGAGCTTTGGAGATGGACATGAACTAGAGTCCTAGTCCCACCACATAAGAGCTGTGGCCCTTACAGGCATACCTCGGAGAAATTGTGGTTTCAGTTCCAGACCACTGCAATAAGCGGGTCCCAATCTTTCTTGCTGGTGGAGACGCGTGCCTTCAATTTGTAAAAAAACCCGCAACATCTGTAAAGCACAATAAAGCGAAGTGCAATAAAATGAGGTTTGCCTTTCTTCAGTACTCTGGGCCTCAGTTTTTCTTTCTGCAAGTGAGGATCATTACCACCTGTCTGAAGATTAGAGGTGATGATCTAAAGCACCCACCTGCCCCTAATGGGTACATGAGAGTGTGGGGGCTCAGGAGCAGATGTTCTAGGGTTCAAACCTGAGTTCTACGGCTCTCTATCTGTGAGTTCCTGCCAATGTGATACTGCCTCTCTGAACCTCAGTTTCCTCATCTGTTAAATAGGCTGAGTAACCATGCTGACCTTCCAAGATCATTCTTAGAGTTCAATAAGATGATGTATAAAAAGCCCAGCATTGGGTCTGGCCTTCAGGAAGCACGGATTTATAAAGCATGACAGGCCTCTCTTTATGAGAGGGAGGAGGAGGTGGGTCCTGGAAGATGGAAGGGGTGAGGGAATGAGGGGTTCATGCATGGGGGGTCAAACCCTGCCTTTCATCTGCCCGGTTGCTGGGTGCCCCTCACCCCCGCCCCATTGAGCCTGAGGCCCCATCCGACCTCTCCCCTACACTCCAAAGTAAAAATAATTCAAGGCGATTTCTTGACTATGCATATTTTAAAAAACTATGCAGGCTGGAGTAAGCGAAAGTTGCTGTATTCTTTTCAATGCCTTCCTTATGCCCCCACAGGCCTCCCACACACCAGCTGCGTAAGTGTGGGGAGGCTTCAGGGGCTGAAACAGGCTCTGGGCACGGCTTGTGAGCAAAGTCAGGGAAAGGATGCAGGATTGGCTCATGGAGGTGGGAGGGGTGGAGCTGGTCCCTGGGCCTTGGGGAAGCCAGCTGTCATCTGTCTGTCAGACTGGACACTCCCTTCTCCTCCCACTGGGGCCAGAGGAGGCTCACATTTGTGCCTGGCATTGCCACAGTGTCCCCCCTTGGGCCAGATGAAGCCACTGGGTCTCAGTGAAGTGACAGTCAGTGGTGGGGGGTGGGATAGGGGCTCAGTCCCCCAGGCAAGGCTGCAAAGAAAGGCCTCTGGGCAGGGGGACAGAGTTACTGATGCAAGAGAGAGGGTTGGGAGATGACGCCATCAGAGGTCACCCCGATCGCTGCAGTAGCCTCCCAACTGGTCTCCTTGCGTCCCCCTTGGCCCCACGACCTATGCTGTGAGCCACAGCCAGAGCCATCCTACTGAACCCCAAGGCAGATATGTCTCGCTCGCTCAAAGTCTCCATGGCTCCTTGCTCTCTCACAGAGTCAGCTCCCCAGAGTCTGTGGACCCCTAAATGCCCTGACCCCACTCCCTGTCTGACCCCCTCCCCGTTCTAGCATTTAATCCATTCCAGACCTACCGGCCTCCTTGCTGTGTCTCCATCACCCCGGCACACTCCTGCCTAGGACCTGCCCGCCTATTGTCCCTCTGCCTGGAGTGTTCTCGTGGTTCGTTCAGATATGAGCTCAAATGTCATGTCCTCAGTTCAGCGTTCTCTGACGACACCTCCCCATCACCCTTCATCCACGTACCCTGCTTGCTTGTCCTTTGCACTTACCACCTCCCAACATTGTATTCAACATCTACTTGTTTATTTATTCTCTGTCTCTCCCATAGCAGGTGGGCTTCATGAGGATAGGACTTTGCTCACTGCTGTGTCCTCAGGCCTTAAACAGGGCTTGGCATTTGCTGAATAAATCAATGAAAACAGAGACTGACAAAGACAGAAAGGGAAATGATGGATAGATGGATGGATAGATGGATGGATGGATGGATGGATGGACGGACGGATGAGAGGAGAGAGGATGGATGGATCAATGGAAGAATGGATGGAGGAATGGATGGATGAATGGATGGAAATATGAATAGAAAGATGGGTGGGTGGAAGGAAAGATGAATAAATAAAAGGAAAGAAGAAAACATAGAAAGATGGAAGGAAGAAAGAAAAAACGAGTAGATGGAGGGATGGAGGGATGGAAGGAAGGGAGGGAGGTGGACTGACAGACAGGCAGAGAGACACAGGATCCAGGCAGGGTGTTCATGAGATTCTGCCTGGAAGGACTAGGTGGAGCCGAGGGTAGGAGCACAGCTCACAGCCCCCCGTTGGGAGTCTTAGAACCCTCAAGCCGCCGCCTTCCGCCTGCCTCTCCCACAGGCTCCACCCGCGGCCTGGCCCACGCAGGAAGTGACTGCAGAGGAACATGGCAGGTGGGGGACCGGCCCCAGGCTTTATTGAGCAGGTCCCGGGGAAGGGTGGACAGGCAGGCCCTCGGCCCAGCCCTGGGGCCTCGTCCTCTTGTCCTTGCTGAACCCCCAAGGCAGGCCTGGCCCGCTGGGGCCTGGGCGCCCTTCAGCTGCGGAGGAAGCAGCCCCGCTGATGCCACTTCTGGTCGCGGATGCGGCGCACGGACTGCAGCTGCGGCTGGTTGGCGTCCCACTCGTTCCAGTGGCGGTACTCGCCCCGCTCGAACACGTACTGGCGCCCGCGGTAGCCGGGAAACTCATAGGCAACCCACCTGCCGGGATACCAAGGTTGGGGTGAGGATGGTTAGCCTCCCATCTCCCACCTCCAGCCAGACCGAGGCTTTCAAAGCCAGCATCTGACCATGTTGAGATGCACCCACAAGTGAGATGTAGTCACTGACAAAGGGAAGCTGATACTAAGGTTGCATTAACAGAGATATTAAGCCTGGAAGGAGGGAGGTGATGAGCCTGCTTTCCTACATACTATTCAGACCATACCTAGAGAACCACATACATCCTCGGCCCCCTGGTAAGGAGGACAAGGACTGTGTAAAGGCAAAAAACAAAAACAAAAAACAGAAAATCAGTTCGAGAGCCGGGAGTTGTTCAGAAAAGGAGTGAAGACTTTGATGGGTACAGGTGGGAGGAACAGATTTCATATGAATAAAAAAATAGATAAAACTTTCTATAAGTCAAGGCTTCTTGGAAATCCAGTGGTACAAGAGTGCAAGCAATTGGACATTCAACTCCTGGGGCCTCTCAAGTGGGGCTCTGAGCAAAGATGGAACAGGAGCAGCCGACATGCAGGAAGGGCCTCCAGACAGGGGCAGCAGAAAACACAGTGAACAGATTCTGTGTGGAGCCAGGGGAGTGACTGACCAGAGGACGGGGCAGGGGTAAGAGTGGGGGTTGGGTCCCTTACGTCCCATTGATGGCCCGGACGCTCGCCACACGGTCCTGGAAGCCATGAGCCCAGAGGCTGGGCACGTCGTCATCCACTATCTCCATCCTCCGGCCACTGAAAGCCGCGTTCTCAAACAGGTGAAGCTTGTGATCCGGACCATCCTGGGGGCAAGATCGTGGCGTGAACCAGCTGCTCCCGTGCCCAGAACGGGGGGCCGTGAAACCAAGGGGGCCTTTCAGGTCTCATTTAAGCCCATCAGGGGACAGACAGAGAAACTGAGGCACGGAGAGGGTGGAAGGAGATCAAAATTATTAATGTAGGAGCATTCCCTCATTACTAAACCAGGCTCTGATTGGGTCTTCCCACTGCCCTCAAAGGGGCACCCATGATTGTGACAAGGAGACGGGGCTGGAGCTGCCACCGAGTGTAAGTAAAGCAGGTGGGAGGGCAGAGCGACATCTTAAAGTGTGACGTGGGCCGAGTCCCTTTCAGGTGTTTGACAAACGCAAGCAAAGAACCTGAGCCTGAGTTCTGCACTTACTTGTTGAAGCAATTTTCTAGACTGTGTTTCTTTGACCACAGTACTGATCTGAGACTGGGCCATATGGTCCTGAATTTTAATAGGATTACAGAGGCAAGTGCCAGTACCGTGCTGGCCAATTCAAGATGTGAATCCTGATGTCTCCAGCCCCAGCCCAGTGACCATTTGATAGCCAGCCTCTTCTTGTCCCACACAATCATTTAGGTCAGAAGTGACGAGGGCCCTTCCCAGGCCAGGCCCATGCTGGCGAAGCCCTAGGCCGAGCTTGTAAAATGAGCTGGCCTGACCAACTCCCAGCATGTCCTGCTGCTAGAAGCTTCTAGAAGGGGGCAGGAGCTGTACTTACCATGTGCAGAGGCCGGAGGGACAGGAGGCTGTCACTGTGGTGGCTGTTGGACCAGGCATCCCAGCGAGGGTAATCCCCCTTTTCCAGGACAAACTGCTCCCCGTGGAAGGCTCTGCCTTCGAATGCCAGCCACCTGTAGGAGGGAAGAGGCTTGGGTCACCTCTGCTGCAGGTGAGGGAGGACCCAAATCTAGTGACGGAAGGGCCCATAACTGACCTCTGACCTGGCACCCTCCTGCCAACCCTACTGCTGATCTCGGGTCCTGTTATTGAAGAAACTACTGGGTTATACTGGGAGCTGAGACTCTGAGCCGGAAAACCTTCCTGGGAAATCATATTGAGAATCTATTTTATGTGCAGCCTCTGTGTGTCAGGTGCTTGGAAAAGCCCTTAGTACAATGTCTGGCACACGGTCAGTATTCCATAGATGGCTTGTTATTATTATTATTATATTATTATTATTATTATTTATGTGCATGTTTCCATTCATTTCACAAAACCCCCTCTGAAGTAAACCCAATTGTTATCCCCACTTGACAGATGAAAAAACAGAGGCCTGGAGGGTGAACACCTTGCCCAGGATCACTCAGCTGGTTAGTGCCAGAGCCTGGACTTTCCATCTGAAGGTGAGAATGCAGAGACCACCTGGAACACCTGCTTGCTGTGTGGACATGGACCAGACACTTAACCACATTAGCCTCAGTTTCCTCATCTGTCAAATGGGGATAAGAAGGCACCTCTCTCCTAGGGCGACTGTGAGGCTTCAGTGATATAATGCATGTTAAGTTTTAGATGTCATAAATATGATTGAGGGCCGGCCGAGTTAAGAGCGCGAGCTCTGAGCAACAGGGTTGCAGGTTTAATTCCCACATGGGCCAGTGAGCTGCAACCGAGCTGAGCTGCAGCTGAGCTGGTGAGAGTGCGTGCTCTTAACATCAATCCCATGCGGGTTTGACTCTCGCATGGGATGGTGAGCTGCGCCCATATCCCCCCCGAACCCCCCCCTTCCCTGGCAACTAGAGTGAACACTGGACTTGGAGCTGAGCTGCACCCTCCACAACTAAGATTGAAGGACAACAACTTGACTTGGAGCTGATGGGTCCTGGAAAAACACAATGTCCCCTTTTTCCAATTCCCCAACAATGTTCCCTTCCCCAATTCCCCAATAAAATACTTAAAAATAATAATAAATATTATTGAGAGTATAATGATTAAACCCCACTTCTCAGGCACTGAGTTAGGTGCTGGGCTGTCCTCTCTGTTCTTTTCCCACTGCACTCTGCTATCTGCCACAGAGGTCAAGAGCTAGAAGGATTCTAAGAGAATCACAGGTCAACTCCTTCATTTTACAGTTGGGAAAACTGAGGCCAGAGAGGGGACGGGAGTTGCCTAAGGCCCCACAGCATAACTAGAGCTCGAACCCTGACCTCCTGACTCCCAGAAGTCTAAGGGCTGTGAGGAGGGGCTGGGGGTCCAGTTACTCACGGCCCCGACTCCACACGGATGGAGCCCACCTTCTCCAGCAGGCTGTCCGTCAGGTTGGGACACTCAGCTGAGAGCTCGCACCGCTTGCCCTGGAAGTTCTCCATTTCGTATACGATCACCTGGAAGGGCAGTGTCCTGAGTGTCTCCCCATGGCGGGGCTCCCAGCCCCAGCGCCTATCCTGTGAGGTCCTCCTTGGGGCAATGGAGGGAGGCACCATCCTTCCACTCCGTCAGCTCGGCCTTGTACCAGCCTGGAGCCAGCACTGCCGCAGTCTTGCACTGCTCTCTGGTGGCCATAGCGGGGAACTCCTCCAGGAACCTCAAACCAGGGGTTGCCACTCGTTATCTAGAGAGCGCCAGTCTGGAGCCTAATAGATTGATGACAGGAGGGACTACTGCAGGGAAATGAAGTCGCTTACTGCAGGGAAATGAAGTCGCTTACGGCAGCCAGGAGGGAATGTGGGCTCTGTCTAAACTTTTCAAGCAAGGCTAGAAATTGATGTTTACCTTAATGTGAAGTTTCCCCATTAAAAAAAAAAAAAACTGTGCAGAGGAGACAAAACACCAATTTCCAACCTCTGGTTGACCTTCACCTGCCCCAGGCCCAGAGGCAAAAAAAAAGGGTACAAAGGCAGAGAAAGGTGTTGCCTCTCCCACAGCTAGACGCACAGACTGTCTTTTTAAACGATCCTTGGGGAATATCTACTCGGGCCATTTAATAGAAGGCTCAGAAAGGGTGAGTCACATGTCCCAGGCTGCACAGGAAGTTAAGTGGAAGCACCTGGATTCATGAAGTCAGCTGGCTCTTTTCTCCCGCTCACTGGTGTGGACAGGGCAAGGCCCACAGATGGCAAAGGGAGACAGGAAGACTCAGCAGCGGCACCCACCTCCCCGGTGGGCAGCTGCTTCTGGGGGATTTGCCAAGGCCCTTAGAGGTCATGAGAGAATGCTGTACTCTTTCTAGGACAAACCGGAGGCTCTGCAGGGCAAGGCTGGCTCGATGTCTCCCACGGATCAGGCCCAGAGCCAGGCAGGTCTCTCTGCTGCTCGTCTCCTCCCTGTCTCCTCACCGTGGTTAAAGCCACCAGCACAACCTCAGAAATGCCCCATCCTGTTATCTCTTTAGTCAACTCATCCGTAGGCTGTCTTGAGTTAAAGCCATCAGGGGTAGCTTAGAGAGGGCAGAGCCAGCAGATTCCAACGCTCTGTTAGCTGGCCTTGGCAATGGCACTTGCATCTAGCTCTCACACCAGCTCTGGGGGCTAAGGAGTGTGGGTATCATTCCCATTTTAAAAATAGGGCTGTTGAGGCCCAGAGAGGGCCGGGAACTGGACTAATGTCAGCAGGAGAGTCAGTGCCATATCTCCTGAAACCCCCGGACCCCCTGGGCCCCACTGAGACAGGCAGGGCGTATGTGAACAGTTTCATCTTGCAGACCGGCACACGGAAGAGGGAAGATGCAGCAACGTCATGAAACGAATTTACGGCAGAGGGGTGAGGTGCCTTCCTGGCCCAGGCTGGCTCCTTTCTGGAGAGAAGCTGACCCTGAGGCCTAAGAGTAGCCCTGGGCCCAGGGCCCCTGGGCCCCTCCCGGCGCAGTACCTTGTAGCTGCCTCCAAGGCCTCCACGGCTCTTGCCAGCCACAGCCTGCTCCAGTGCTCCGTGCTGTTCTGCCATCTTCCCAGGAATACCTCTGGCTTCAACCAAAGGAAAATGGGGTATCAGGTGCACCTGGCAAAACCAGGCGTCAATGTGATTGGAGTTGTGCGCAGAGCCTTCCTGCCTATGGACGTGGTCAGTGTTTTAGTCATTCAACAAACATCCACTGAGCACCTACTGTAGGCCACAGGGAGTGGGACAGTTGGGAGGATCAGAGTCCCCATTTTTCAGAGGGCAACCCCAAGGCCCAGCAAGGTGAGGTCACTTCCCCTAGGCTGGGATTGGGCCTGGCTCCAAAGCCTGTACCCTTCCCCCACACCTAACTGCTTCCCCCAAACAGGGTTCTCAGAACTCTGTACAGATATCACCTCCAGACCCTGAGCAGAGGGCAGGACTTGGGGGGTCCTCTACAGGGATCTCTCCCACCTCCACCCCCCAAGCTGCAGTCTTCTGTTCACTCACTACTCTGTTCACCAAAGATTCCACAAGCACCTTCTCAGTGCCTGGGCCTGTGCTGGGTGACTGGGATGAACAGGAGCCCGCAGACTGGTGGGAGATGGACACACAGATGATAGACAGACATTTAGAGGAAGCATGGTGCCAACCAGGCCCTGGGACACCTGCTTCAGCCGTTTCCATACATTTGGTCATTCATTCCATACACAATTATGGAACACTTACTGTGTACCAACACTTAAAGACAGACAGCTCCCCTTCATCCCTACGGAGACCGTGACACACGGTACAGGCCCTGCAGTAGTCATGTGGAAGGGTTCTCCTGATTGTCGCAACACACAGACACATGGGACTGTTCTCCAGTTTATCCACACACACATATGCATGCACATGCAAACTAACACGAGCTCCCGTGGTCACTGTACCTAGTCACATCCCACCCACTGCACAGAGCCTCTTACACACACACACACACACACCCATCTCAGATATCCACAGTGGGCCATAGGCACCCACATTTACACCGCACACCCAGCTGCCATCCGTCCATGGCTCCCACACTCCCACTCCTGGCATGCACAGCTGTGTCTCATATACGCAGGACATGGGCCCAACGATGCATGGGCTGCTGGCTGGCTGTCCTGCCTGTGCCCAGCCTCAGCGGGAACTAGGGCATGGTGCAGCTCGGGGGGACTCTCGGGAGACATGGCAACCCCGAAATTTACCCACTCTCCTCCCTCAGCTGTGCCCAGTCTTTGCAGGTTCCCTCCCCTAAGCACATGCCCAGGGGCTTGACTGTGGCCCCGCCCTCTGACACCAGCTGGGCTTGGTGGCTGTCAGGGGTCCTCCTTCTCGGCTCCGACCCTCAAGTGGATCCCCAGCTCGCACAGGGGTCAGCTGTGCACGTCCCATGGAGACCACCCAAGGTCTGGACCTGCCAGGGCAGCTCTCGCCTCCCCACCTTGCCTATCCCAGAATGAACCTGTTGCTGCCGCCTTCGGAAGAACAGGGGGGCCAACACCGTCTGCAGACAGCCTGCCTTTGCAAGGAGCAACCTATTTATGGGGGTGCTTTCTGACAGCCCAGCACATCCCGGCCTGCTGAGGCGGCGGTCTGTCCACCCGATTCTGTCCGGACCGTTTCACTCCAATAGCGGGCACAGGGAGGCCCCAGTGCCTCTGTGTCCTCAGCAAGGGCCTCCGATGACTTCCTGGGGGCACACGGACCTCATCAGCTTTGTGGGAAGCCTGACAGCACCAGGTGGGGAGCATGGGCGTTCTCCAGTGACCACCCCCACTCCTGTTGACTTCTTGGTGCCACCATCTTCTTATTGGGGTGCATGGAATCCTTGGAAAGGCTGCAGTTCTTAAAGTGAGGGACCCCAGAATCTCAATTTTTCCACATGCTTTGTGGCCTAAATTTTGTTAGATCACCGTAAACATACCTTCCAAGTTGGGCGTAAATCCATTCAACCATTTCCATGGGACGCTGTAATAGACCCATCAAAGATTGATTTTCTTCAGGTAAAAAGCATATATGTATGAACAACAGCTACCATTTATTGAAGACCTATTATGTGCAGGCCACTGTGCATTATGTTTACTCCTCACCTACCCTTCTTTAGAGGAGGAGTTATGATCCCTATTTTATAGATGGTTTGGAAACTGATTTCAGAGAGGTTAAGTCACTTACCTGGTCACACAGCAGAAGGCGTGGGGGACAGGCCTGCTCCAGGGCCAGCTTTTAGCCTCAATAGAAATCAAGGTGGCCATGACAGTCATCTTATTTATGACCAAAAAACTAGATCCATGCATTTTTGAGTGTCTAACACAGTATAATTTTGCCTGTGGTAGGTGTTTAATAATGATTATCGAATGAATAAAAAGAGGGACAAACGAGTGACTTGTTAAACAACGGCGTTTTCTTTTGTGGTTTGTTTTTGGTGAAAATCCTCAAGTTACTATAAAATCCAGTGACCTCACATCCCTGAGATGCTGGTCGGATATGGGTGACAGCTGGACTTGGGAAACAGGTGGACCTGTGTGACCTTGTGAGACTTACTCGAGATCTCAGAGCCAGTCTTCTCATCTGTAAATGGAGAACCTTCTTTCTATGGGAGCCATTGAGAGATCAGGGAAGCAAAGCACTCCAGTCTGTCACTTTCTTACATTTATTCACCGAGGATCCTGCCTCTGTGGCCAGACCAAGGGGGGTACTTCCGGGCGGTGATTGTGAGAGTTGGTTTCGACCCCTTACCTTGCTTGGGATGCAGTCACCACCTGCTAGGGATCCGAGGGGAAGACAGAGAGGTGGGGACAGCCTGCAAGCGTGACTCCCTCCCATTAGGACGTTTAGGATCGCGAGGACCTACTATGCACCCAGCACTTTCACGTGCCACATTTCCTTAACCTAGAGTTCTCAACCACGGCACTACTGCCATCTGGGGCCAGGTCATTCTTTGTGGTGGGATCAGACCTCCTGTGCACTGTAGGATGCTGAGCACCATCCCTGGCCTCTACCCGCTAGATGCTGGTAGCATATCCATCCCCTCCTTGTGATAACCAAAAATGTCTCCCGTCATGGTCAGATGTCCTCCTGGGAGAACACCCCACCCATATGAGAACCACTGCTTTCAGCTCTTGCTCACTAAGGTCGCTATCAGCATCCCATTTTGGAGCTCTGATGCTCAGAGATATCCCACAGCCAGGAGGGTGAAGAACAAGGATTCGATCCCAGGTTGAACGGAAATCCTGCTTTGTGCCCACGGGCCCCCTCTCCCAGGACCCCAGCCACCCACTCGTGCCGCCTGGCCCCCAGCTCAGCACGGACAAGAGACCGATCTCAGCTGATGGGCGTGCATGCACGGAAGGGTCCATTACATCCACACGGACACAACCAACTTCTCCAATGCAACTTGCATCAAAGCTTTATTTGCAATTTTCATAGTCTGAATGCAACATCTTTGTACATGCAAAGGTCCTCTTGTTCTAAGGCAGTTGGCTCGATTCCCAACTGCTCTGCATGTGCGCGTATGAAACCTCTTTACAGTTACAAAATATAAAAGCACTTGTCGACATCCAATACTCTGTGAGGTCCGCGGAGCCCCATTGTTTTAACATTAAAAATAGAGGTTTTTCTAGATGAATTCTCAGTCACACAAATTAGAGGTTCTTTCTGGGATTGGGTAAAGTGCCTCTTGTCCGCCTTCTGTTCAGAACTCCTAGGGCTTGTGAATTCATAAGGCAATTGCAGGGACACCGACAGCAGCAGGCTCCGCTTTTCCTACACACAGGGCTCGGGTTCCTTCTCTATCATGACTCAACTACCTGATGATGGGACCCAGAAGAAAGGTTAGGAAAATATATCGTCTATATTTATATATATTTCCAATCCCCCCTGCCCCCATCTTACAAAGCAGTTTGAGGCTAAAAGTCATCTTGGAAGTGCATGACTTCTAGGATATTGGGACGATTTAGGAAACAGTACAAAATACCTTCCCGTGTCACACAATATATTACTTTTGTAAGCCCCTTATTTACAGGATCTGTAAGGCTATGTGGGATGAAATCATTAAAAAGCTAAAAATTCTTCTTTAGACAATGGCATGATTTGTTGGAGCAGATGTCACGTCACTGGAGATTGTCAAAAAAAGCCAGTCTGATCCGTGGAAGATGTCGCGGCACCAGACAGGAGGGTAACTACTGAAGGAGACACTGGGGGGGCAAAGGCGAGAGGCTGACAGGTCGGCGTGCCGGGAACCCCAGGCTGACGTGCCAGAACCTGGCTTCCTGCCCTGCTCCCTGAAGGGACCCACCCAGACGAAAGAAAGAAATCTCTAGAAGGGTGGTGGGGGCAAAAGGAAATACAGACTGGCTCAGACTTGTTCCTACTGGCTTTCTATGTGACGACATTCCCAGAACCTCGGCTTGCCCAGAATTCCAACAGAGAGACTCTTAGTAGCTCAGCAGCTCGGATGCACCACTCCCTAAGGCGGAGGAGTCCACGATGGGTCCCCTTCCCCATGTCCAGTGGGTCCTGCCTCCTTCAAGTGACTCCCTCCCCCTCAACACTGTCCCTCCGCCCCCATGGCATCACGAGGCCCTGGGACACTTGCTTTCCCGTTTTAACACATAGCGTTACAGGAGGAAAGGCACCATCCGAATCTATAGAAGGTTTCTCTGTTATGGAAGTGACCTGCCATGGCTTCCGATGGGGGAAGGGTATTTCCCGCTGCAGAGAGCTTTTCTCCTGCCTCCCCATCCCCCCTCAGGCTCACCCTGAAATGTAGTTTACACAAAGGCAACAGTCATCCAGCTTCCTAGATGGAGACGCTGCATGGGAGGGACCCCAGGGACTGAGGAGCTGCAGCGGAAGCTCGGAGGCAGAGGCAGGCTCACGGGCCCTCTCCTTGGGTGGACGCTGTCGTCCACGCAGGCCCAAGTCACTTTGAAAAAAGCAATTGGTTTTGCAGGTGAGTTGACCTCACACTTGTGGATTTTTAGCTTTGTCATTTTACCCGGCTCCCTGGGCAATCTGGGGCGTTGGGATGGAAAACGTACACACATTAACGGACAAAGGCAGCTATGAGCACCAGGTGGGAGTGGCTGCGTCTCCTTTGGGCAATCACGCCGAGGGTTTTTCTAAATCCCTTGCACAGCCTTTAAGGGTTAGGACTACAGGCTAGTGCCTATTTCTATTCTCGCTCCTTAGCAAACCTTGCTGGCCTCACTTCCTGGGATGCATACACACACAAAACACACATTTGTCCAAAAACACATGACTTGGCTCGTCCCCCTAGAAAACACCCCGCGCGCCCCCCCCATCTGATTGTCCTCTCCCCCGATGCTAGACAACCTGAGGCTCTCAGGTCAGCGCCACTCAAAACCCTCAACACCCCAAAAACCGTGAGGTTCCCCTGGCACCAGAATTTCCCTGGTGGGACTGAGGAAGTCTCCACAACACTGATTCTTGAGGCCTCGCCATGGAATTTCAAAACAAGCCAAAGGCTGCCGGTTTCTTTAGGCAAGAGACCATGAAGAAGGGGATCTACTGGGAGGGGAAAAATATACAGACTTAAAAGACCATCTGTCAAAATGCTGATGTGCAAAGGGTGTGTGTGGAAAGGGGGGGGGAGGGAGGGAGGGAGGGCGAGAGGGAAAGGGGGAGGGAGAGAGAGGGAGGGAGAGACGGGGGACAGAGAGATGGCGCTATGGGGGAGAGATGTTGCATCCCTAGGAACTTGCTTCCTGTGTAAGACGCTCATTGAAGCAGAGCCAAAGGCCCGGAGGAGGAAGGTTAGAGGACGCAGATGGCCTGATTGCATACAGATGATTAAGGCATATTAAGTTAGCTTAAAAGGAGACAGGTGTCCAAAGATGACTCCAGGCTAACTTGAGAAATGAACATACAACTCCTTGCTTAGCCCCAAAGAGCTCACTCACTTTAGAAAGAGGAGAAACAACCCATTAGCTCAGCTCTCTGCAAAGGCTCTGAGCATCAGCCACTTCCAACCTCACTGCACTGATCTCGGTTGGATCCGGAGGTCATGGGGAACCTGCATGAAGAGGGTTGCCCCCGACCCCCAGTGATTGTCTGCTCTGCGGTGGAGAGATGAGGCTGCAGAAAACAAGAGAGTCGAGGAGGATGTACCGGGCTTGCTCTAGTCAGTTTAAATGCATGGGTTCTGTATGTCCGCATCACCAAGGAATGAACTGAATTTTTATTTCTAAACAAGGTGTGGGTAGTTAGGCAAAAGACCTCTAGGGTCAATCTCATTTTCAAGGGCTTTTCTTTCCTTTCGGGTCTACTTGGGCTAAAAGATGGCTAATTCAGAATTCAGAGATGTGCATGAACAGAACAGGTCATTTCCTACTGCCTGAGACGGTACCAAAGGGCTCTTCCCACCTTCAGAAAGACAAAGATGAAAGCAGCCAAGAAAGGAAGTGGGGGTCAGGACACACTAGGAGTGTCTCTAAAGGGGACCTAGTGATCCGGAAAGCACTACATCAGCATTGTTATAAAGCATGAGCTGGGCCTTAAAAAAGAAAGATCAACTGAAGTAGTTCCTGGAGGAATTTAATCCCCAAAAGGGCTACAAAGAACTGATGGACCACTTCCTCAGGGAATTAAGAGAATGCAAACGATTATCAAGCAAGGCCATACCTCCCAACATAGATGCAAGAGGCTTACAGATGCACAAGGTTGGGTGGGTGACAGGGTCCAACAACTGCCCATCAGTAGCCAAGGCTCAGCCAACAGGACTCAGGGAGGGATGGGGGTGGGACCCTCCGGTCCTTGTCCATGGTGCTGACCCACGACCACTCTCCGGAGAACAGCCGTTTGTCTAAACCTGGAGAACCAGGATTGCTCTCCACCTGCCCCCGACACCATCCCCAAGAGAAGGAAGAGGTGGTAAAGGGAGATAAGGGAGGAAGAATGATGGGAAAATAGAGACTCTTGGAAAGGTGGCCAGGGAGAAGGGAGGCATGTTTTGACACCACTTACAAATAATGGATTTATCAAGAAAGATGTTCACCTCTTTTGGGGTGAAGTCAGGGGAGGGGGCATGCGTGAGCCCACCATTTCCATATATAGCCAGTGCTGCGCGTGGACCCATTAGGGAGCGCAGCCCCAGGGACCCTTCAGCAACCCCAGGCTGCCCCCATGAACTGCCCAAGCATCTTTCTCACCAATGGGCATCTCCCAGGCAAGGTTGGCACAAAGTTTATGGCAACTCCAGGCATGGAACGTGGCCAGCCAAGCATTTCTGGGATGTTTGCTGGGGCCTTGGGCTTTCATAGGTGGAGGAGGCTGGTGTTGAGGATTTCCAAAGAGAAGAACACAGTAGAGAGTGTCCGGAGCCCCCAGAGGTCTTGGAGATTCCTAGGAATGAACTTAGAGCTAGCAAGAAAAAAAGACGCAAGGCGAACCTTACCCTTTGTCACCTAGCATCCAGCACTTCTGCCCGGAGTCCCTGGCCTGGTGGGGGGACTTTCAGCAAGACCCTCCCTTCCTGCATTTGGACCTAAAAAGAGCACTTAGTCAGGTGGATTTGGGGGCGGGGGGGGGCTCACAGAAGGAAGAAGTGAGAAGAAACGCAAGAACCCCTCATTCATGCTTTGTTCTGAGGCCAATGTAGGATGGCTCTTCCATGCCAGCAGCTCAGGTGGTGTTCAAAAGAGACTCCGGAGAAAAAGAGTCTCAGAGTGGGTCTGACGTTGGAGTGGGAAAGGCACTGCCATTTGGGCTGCAGTTCATGGAGCCTTGAGGCCGAGGGACAAAGACCACTCCACAGAAATCAGAGCTCAGATGAAAAGAAACCAGGAAACTCTACACAAGGGTGACCACTAGAATTTTTTTTTTTTTAAAAGCATGGATAGGGATAAGATAACCTGAGATGATCAGATACTTCAAGCAAAGTAGTCACACCTCTGTCCTCCTGTTCTTTAACGTAAAAACATATATACATATCAAATCTCAAGGAAAATTGGCTGGATTATTGCTTTATCACCTTCTAAAGCAAACAAAAATGACACACAATAAAAGAGTCAACTATGTACATGGCCCCACTGGAAGGACCAACACACTTGAAAGAACGAGGGCAGGGGTATGTTTAAAAATCAGAACTGCTGATCCTTTGAGAGGGCGATGGAACTTGCCAAAAAAAAAAAAAAAAAAGCAATCAAAACCCCCAGCCCAGTGGTACTGTCTTGGACCACAGTTACAGCAGGAAATGAATGGTTTCTTCTTCCTTGGAAATGTCCTTTTGAAAAAGACCTCCCTGGGGTTGGGGGAAGAGATGCTTTCACAATTCAGGTGTTTTCCGGAACCTGGGGAGATGGTCCAGCCTCACATGCGTGCCTGGAGCTGCTGCAGGCGTCTGCAGTGGGCAGAAGTGCACATTTTTATATGAAAAGAAACAGAACCGCCAGCGTGGACGTTTCGGTGCAGCCTGGCATCTTTCCCAGCCTGAAGTGCTATCTGGGGAGATGTGTAAGTGCTTGAGGAGGGCGAGGCTTTCTGCCCTGACCCGGGGAGAGCCTGCAGAGGGGCGAGGGGCCCTGGACGGCGTTCTCCACCCGACCAGAAGGGCTCGGGCGGGTAACCATTGCGCAGGAAGGAACGGCAGCAGCATGGCCTTGTCTTAGGGTTCTGACAGTTAAGGCTTCTTCTGTTCATTAGACGTGGCAGTGTCCCCTGTGTGGAGAGGAAGGGACAGGGCTAGTGTCAGTGGCGGGGACAGGTGACCCAATTTCTCTCTACCATCAAGCCTTAAAACCTTTCCTGGTAATCCCCAAGATGGCTATTCCCACAAGCCACAGGCCAGGACAGATGACGTGAGTTTTTTGTTTGTTTTGAAGGGTAGGATGAAGTACACTGGAATGAACGTGGAATTTAGAGTCAGGTCGGGGGTCCGGCCTCAGCGTCCTCAAGTGGATTACTAGAGGCTTAACTGCAATCGCATATGTACAGCACTAAACACAAAATACACACGGGCACTAATCCCTTATCCAAAACCCTTGAGCATACATGTACTGCAGAATTTAGATTCTTTCTTGGAGTTTATGATATACAAATATTCACACACGCACACACACACACACACACACACACACATATATATATGCATACATACATATTTAGAAATATTATGTAACACATTATATGCACATATATTACGCAACACCCCCATAATCAAGCACATAATATGCCTACAGTGTAATGTGTGGATATTCATATAAAGCGGGGGAAATAGAGTCTAAATAGCATTAAGGATATCCAAGCAGGTCAGGTTTTGTCACTAAGCGGGTGATGAAAACGCTTTGTTGTCAGAGTGTTCTGGATTTCAGGCTTGTGGACAAAGGGCTGTGGGTGTCCTGTGCTACTCACAGCAGAGCCACGTTTAGGAACCGTGCATTGCGTGCTCCCATCCCTCGAACTTACAGGAAGCACCTGAGATGCATTCTCAGTGAGCCTGGGGCCACCCGGGGACATGGGCTCTGTTACCCCATTTTACAGATGGGGAAACCAAAGTCCAAGATGTTAAGTCATTTGGGACCTACACCAGGGCATATGTAATCATTTGATTTTTAAATCTTTTTTCTTCCAAGTTAATTTTTAATGATACAGGTTCATGCATGAATGGAGAGATAAGGAACCTTTCAGATTGAGCTGATCTTTGATGGCCCTCCCTCTCATTTTTTAAAAGGGGATTGAGATGCAGTGACGGCTGGCCTTAGAGGAAACAGATCATTGCAACCCTCTTTACAGGCACCTAGGACACCTGCACCCACATTTTCCCTTCTCATTCCCATGGTACGACATCATGAATCTCTGACCCTCTGCCTCCCTGCCCACGTTCCTGGCTTCTCAGACTGCAGGCTCCGTTCAGGTCTTCCCGCCAGAGCCCGTTCGTACCTGGTCAAGCTTGGTTCTCATACAGGCTTTGCCTCTTCTTGGATTTCAGCTCCTTTAGCCACTGGGGTGAGGGCTCCTCCGATCTGAAACCACAAAGCCAGTGAGAGTCAAGTGGGAGCCAGACCGAGCGTGTCTTGCAGGCAGGGCTGTGAGGGACCCAGCGTTCCATCTGCCACGCCAAGGCAAAGACGCCCATGCTCACATGACTGATAAGCAAGAAGCAGGAATGAACCAAAGCACCCAACAATGGGAAGGTTAAATAAATCATGGTACATCCATTCCGTGAAATAACCCGCAGCTACACACTCATGCTTATATAAAATTGTGTCCATTCATCCATCCATTTGTAACCCAAACATCCATTCATCCTTCTATCTCTCTACCCACGGAAATGCCTGTGATAGTTAATTTTATGCGTCAACTTGGCCAGGCCATGGTACCCAGATCTATGGTCAAACATTATTCTAGATGTTTCTGCGAAGGTATTTTTTTTAGATGAGATTAATATTTAATCAGTAGGCTTGGTGTCAAGCAGGTTACCCTCCATATTACAGGTGGGCCTTATCTAATCAGTTGAAGGCCTTAAAAGAAAAAAAATTCCCTCTGCTGAAGAAGAGGGAATTCTGCCAACAGACTGCAGAATGGGACTCGACTGCATCACTGGCTCTTCCCTGGGTCTCCAGCTGGCCCTCCTGCCCTCCAGGTTTTTTTTACTTGCTAGCCTTCACAATCTTATGAGTCAGTTTCTTAAAATAAATACACATCTATCTCCCTCCCTCCCTCCCTCTCTCTCTCTCTCTCTCTCTCTCTCTCTCTCTCTCTCTCTCTCTCTCTCT